GCTGCAGCGGCAGTGGCGGCGGGCGGCGGCAGGGGCGGCGGCGGCGGCGGCCCGCACCAGCCATGCCGAATAAAAACAAGAAGGAGAAAGTGAGTCGGGGCAGCGGGGGCTCCAGGACCGGGTCGGGGGTCCCCGCGTCGGCGGGTAGGGGCGGGGCGGCAGGTCGTCCAGGCTCGCGGGCGGGCCCAGGGCGCTGGCAGGATTGCATGGAGCTGGGGAGGCCGCCCAGGCTCTGAGGTGGCGCTGAGGTGCCGCGCTCGCTCTGGGTGGCGGCCGATGCTCCGTGCAGTGCTCTGCGTGGCGGGGGTTGGGGTGCTGGAGCGTTCCGGACTCGGCCCCAGAAATCCTCCCTGGTGAGGTTTAAGGGTGGGAGGGGAGAAAGAGATGGGCGGAGAACACTGGGTTTCTCTGTCCCTACCTGGAGTTTTCACCCCCACCCCCCAACACAGCCATGAAGAGAAACGGAATTTGAAGGCTCCTGGTACTGTGAATATATTCAATATGATGTAGTTTGCTGCTGGCCTATTAAAGCCATCAGAAGCTCTCAGTGATATGTATCAATTTAGAAACTGCATTTGAGCTGATGCTTAGCGGTCCAGATATTGAGAACACTAATTGTTTTTTGTTGTTGTTTGTTTGTTTCTGTTTTGTTTTGTGATGATTCCCAGGAACCACCAAAACCGGTGAAAAGTGGAAAAGGTTCAAAAGAAGGACAAGATACAGCAGAAGCAGAGGTAACCGCTGTACATAGTCGTTGTTAGCCTTATTCGCCTTTTAATCTAGGGTCTAACACAGAGGGTCTACGAACCAAAGTCTCCTAAAGTGTGTTTCTGTTTAAGACTTTCTGAAGTCTTTTCATATGAGTGACTTCTTTTCCCCCCACTTTTATTAAAGTGTGCACGGTGAAGCTTACATTTTTAAAAACAGTTTTGTGGCTTCTGACATAACTCAAGCCCTCCCAGTGAACTGGTCTTAAATCGAGTGTCTAGCTTTAGGGTCTGCCCCCTCATGCCTTTTCTGTGTCTCAGGTGGCTGGCTCTCGCAGTGACTCTTCCATGGTCCTTGCTTTCCTTGCTACAGCCTCTTGACCTGGTGTCCTGGGCAAGCTTCTCTCTTCTGCTCATGTCTGGTCCTTTTCCACTCAGAAGCGTGGATGTGTTTTGATAGCTCTAGTTTGGGTACTTTATAAAAAAGTCTTTTATCTCCTTCTTCAGCTCCCCCATCCTCATTGGTGAGTTCTGACTTTTCTTGCTTCCTGGCTTTGGCTTATTTCAAGAATATCTGGAATAACCTCTTGGGTCATTCGGTGGAATCCATGATCCTTAATAGAGTTATGTATGCCCTAGGGGGATTGGCAGGGCAGCCACTTTTGGTTTTGTGGTTTTGTTTTCTGTTTTGTTTGTTTTTGTTTGTTTGTTTGTTTTTGCTTTCTTTTGTAACTCATTGTCTTGGAACTGGAGTGCCTGAGCCTGGAGGCTTGGGTTTTAATTTAAGAGCGCCTAGAGGCTGCTCCTCAGTCTTCCCCTCTCCACAGCTGGATCTTTGAGATCTTGCCACAGACATTTTTAATTTGTGGATGTTAGGCCTCCTCTTCCTGAAAGCCACATTAGAACGAGTTAAATTCTGCCCGGAGAAAGACAGCTAACTGTCAGTAATCTGCAGGGGTTATTTTAGCTCCAGGTTGTCTTTTCCCCCTCGTTTGGTGTGTTCTGAGCCTCCCTCCTCTGCAGCAGGTGGTTCATCCCAGCAAATCTGTTGCCCTCCCTAGAGCCGAAAGCAGAAATCCAAAAGGTTCCTGAAATACCAGTAGATAGGATTGTCTGTGCCAGTCTTTGCCTGCCCTTTCTGTACAGCAGATCATGACGTCTTTCCTGTGGCACGCTTGTCTCTGACTGCCTTCCATAGCTAGCCCTTCAGCAGTTTTTACATGACAAGCAATTGCTTTGCAGGGGTTTACACTGTGTGCTTTGTTGTCTTGTTATTAGGACTGCTAACACTTCTTACTGTTCCCCTAAGCTTCCTCAATCAAACATACCTGTGTCCCATGGTTGTTGGAGGTCACAGAGAATATCAGCATGTATGTTCATTTCTCCCTAGTTTAGCAAAAGAGCCTGCTATCAGGATAGGATAGTGTTGGGTTTGAACCAAAAACCAAAATCAAACCAAAACAAAAAACCCAAACCATCCCAGTTGAAAGATGTCCATACCACTGCTGTGTAGAGAGTGTCTGTGAAGTAGGTGGGCATTTTACTGTCATCTGTGTAGGGCTCTGGAAGTGTGGCCTGCAGTGTCCAGTGTGATGCCCCAGTTGTCTTTTTGTATCTTTTCTAGTGCTACTGTCTAAGAGCTGGAGTCACAGAGCTTGAAATGACCACTGAAAAACACTGAGATGTTGGGCACTTCACCCCTTTCTCAGAAGGATGCTCGAGGCAACATGGCATGCTAAGCTTGGCCCTTGACAGATCACTGTTTAGATTATTTCGATGGAATACAGATCAAGGCACAGTAGTTCCTGTGACCTCTGAGTTACTCTTACTTTCTCCTCCCCTCAGCCTTCGGCTCTGCGGCTCTGTTCTTCCCTGTTAGTCCCACCCACTTAGCAAGCATGATTGACTCAGCGAGTGAATTAAGTCATTACTGCACACACACTTCTCTCCTCCTGTTACTCTGACTGAGTATTTTCACCTGAACAGTGTAAATGGGTTTGGTATTCCCAGGGCTGCTCCTTGAGTCCGTCTAATGTCACATCCCCGTCACAAAGCAGTGGTTTTTCCACACTGTCCTGTGAAGGCAGCTCAGAGCCTAGACAGTTTGCACACTCCAGGTTTACAGCCTGGAGACGTGAACAGGGCAGGTGTGCAGCCATGGATGAGCTGCTAACAGGCCTGGGGCGTAATCCCAGTGAGATTCAAGAAGTTAGCCTGTGATTGACTTAACGTACCACCGTCCAGGACACGCAGAGGCCTTACAGTGGACATTTGGCTGGCCTCACGAGAGACAAGGCATCAGGTGGTTTACATTGAAGAACACTTTTTTGGCTAGCCCAGGGGCTTTTTAAATAGGAAGGAAAAGTACTGGAGTGAAAGACAGCATGAGACACAGGAAGACATTCCAGGCTGGGAGTGAGAACAAACGGAGATTCCTGCCTGCCAGGAGTGACGCATTCAGTGGCCTCGTGAAATGTGTTTCCACATGGCTAAGACAACTTAGTGAGCTAAAGATATTAGGGGCCATTTTAACTGTGTGGGACAGATGGGCCCTGCTTTTCCTAAGAAATATTGCCCTGTAAGATGTACAGCACCACAAATCTGGTAGTGTAGTTACAGGTACTGTTCAAGGTTGTTACTGCTACTGGGCAGTTCTGCCTTGTTCTAGAAATTTCTTCAGTGATGTTAGTACATTTCTCTTTCCTTTTCTTCTCTGTCAAATAGAGTATGTTAAAGTTCAACTTATTACTTATTCCCATGTGTCCTGAAAATAAACATTTCTGTCCAGTGCCAGATACAGGTTTGTTTTGTAGCCTGTCTTTAGCTGACAGGCCACAGCCGACCCATGGGCCACTTGATGTTGGAAAATGTGGAGATGGATGGAGAGAACAAATTATCATTCAGGTACAGAGGAACATGACTAGGCACATTTTTATGAATATTTAAAATCCTAAATTCCACTGAGCTCTAGACAGTTGTCTTGCAGGGTCGGGCCATTGGATGGTGTTGCTGTATTGTCTTGTCGTGTTTTTAAAATCTGTGTTCTCTGTCCAAAGTTGAGATTTTTAAATGTGTTGATGATTTTTATAAAGTGATTTGTTTTGGGCACATTAAAGGTGGTTTGAGTCTTGTTTTCCGTCTGTGTGTTTCGTATGCTGGGCTCGGTTTTGTTTGAAAGTCTTTTCAGCATCTCTTATGTAACATCCAGTGCTCGGAAGGATTCGGAGCAGTCTTCCTTCAGACTCGGTCTCTCACGTTGACACTATTTACCTGACGAATATTCTGTCCCTTTGCGTTTCATTGCCACTACCCATCGGCATCTCATCTCGGAGGAGGGATAGTAAGGCTGAGGCTTGCCAGGGATCACATTAGGATGGGGGCAAAATAATGCTTTTATTTAAGTTATACTAAAATTTATAGAAGTTATTAATAACAGCTGTTACATGTGAACATAGGTAAAAAAATTTATGAAAATAGCTTTCAAAATTAATTCAGGGCTTTCTGTTGACTGTCTGTGGAGCAGACATCTTTCTTGAATAAGTTGGAAGAAGACTGTGGGAGTGGTTTGTAGACAGCCACATGGTGACTTAGCTGACGTCCTCTGTGGAAGGGTCAAAGCCTCCATCTAAGCATCGGCTGGCTCTTCTTAGACCTTAGGCCCTTGCCCAGTGCTCAGGTGCATAGAAAGTGCAGCCTCAGATGGGAGAGCTTGGGAGTGATTGGGAATGGCTGCTCTGGGATGGCTGCCTTTGGGCCTCAGAAGCACCTGGGTCCTCCGTAAGCCACTTTTCCTCCAGCTCCCACTCATTCACACGTAGGCTGGTAGATGGGTGGGAGACCTGCTGCCTATGCTGTCTGTATGGGGCCAGGGGCTTTGTTAGAGACTGTTCTGGGCTCTGTGTTAACCCTTGCCCTTACCTACTAAATGCCAGTAGCAGGCATTGCCGAATGTCTCCAGTGGAACAGACTCACCCCTGCTGAGCCCTGCACTGGAAAGACGCTCTACAGAGTGTGCACGCTTGCCTCCAGAGTGCGTCTGGCGCTCTCTGCTTGGTATGCTTCCATGTTGAACAGCAGTGCTCAGACAAAAGGGAAGGGCCCTTTACTCTCCTCAAAGGCATCGAGAACCCAAACAGATTTTATGTAGGTGGTTACAGCTCTCTTACCCATGTTTTTCATATTAGCAATTAAAACTGAAAAATTTCAAGTATTCATCAAATTCAGCTAATAATAGCAGTAATACTCGTTACATGTTAACAAAAATAGCATTTGTGTGAAAATACATTTTTTAAAAAAATTCCCTGAAAAGAGGGGGCATTGCTAGTGGGGCTGGAGAGATGGCTCAGCAGTTAAGAGCACTGACTGCTCATCCAGAGGTCCTGAGTTCAGTTCCCAGCAACCACATGGTGGCTCACAGCCATCTGTAATGGGATCTGATACCCTCTTCTGGTGTGTGTGAAGAGAGTGACATTCATATACATTACATAGATAGATAGATAGATAGATAGATAGATAGATGGATAAATTTTTGAAAAAAAGGGGCATTGCTTTAGGTTTTTCAGATTTCTTTAGCTGCTTGGCTCTACAGTCAGCCCATTTTGATGACACGTGTATAACTCACAAAAATCTTCACAACATGAGACTTAAAAAAAAAACTCATTAAGTCACATTTAAGTTGCTATGAAGACAGTAACCGGATCTCTTGGAGCACCTGAAAGGTCTCTAGGTAGCAACTCCAGACGTACTTTAAGGGCACCCGTTTCAGAATACCCTTCTGAGGACTGCTGCCCATCCTAACAACCCAGGTTCAGCCCCTGGAACCCACGTGGTGGAAGAGAATTGGCTCCTGCAAGTTGGCCTCTGACACACATGCACACAAGAATCTTAAGACAATTTTTAAAAGAATACCCTTCCTGTCTTTCAGTTTGATGGAGGCCTTCACGTTTTCTTGGCACCAACTCAAGTTAATCTATTGGAATTTAAGAATAGGTTTGATTATTTTTTAAACGATACATATTTATTTATGT